AATAAGAAATTAAATGAAATTAATTTTTGGATTAATTAGAATTAATTGAGAGTGCAAGGGTTAAGTTGTATTTGCTCAATAGTTGAACAAATGAGAGGTTCCATAACCATCCTATATGGGATGGTTTTGGAGAACCTTATTAGGGTTTCTAGAAGCCTCCATGATTATTAGGAATATTAGACACTCATAGGCTAAGCAGTTAATATCAACGATTTCCAGGTGATTTCCAGGTGAGATATCGGTTATCGTACTTTTTCAAAATATCAATGTCAAATATTGAATCGCAAATATCGGTGATATTTACCGATATTTAACCGCTATTTACCGATATTTCCAGAAGATTTCTTGGTGGGATATCGGTTAAGTAATTTTACTTGCTTTTTTTAGTGTTAAGTCACAGCCTTAAATCTTATAGACTTAACTTAAATGAACCTGCTATTATGTTAAGTACTTAATTGTTAGTTTTAGGTCATAGACTCATGTTTTAAGTATTAACCGATCTTATTGTTATGTTAATTGTTACATACTTAAGTGTTAACTTGCTAGTTTCTATATGTTTGATCATGTTGATGTGTTAGTTACATAATTCTTAAATGATTATGATGATATTATAGTTGATGTTGCTAATCTAGATATAATAATTGGATGCCTTGATTGATGTGGACTTGGAGGAAGATCCCATGGCTTACGTAAGATTATGTTTCAAACATTGATAATTTTGAATCTTGACTTTTTATATTACTTTTATATATGTTTTATGTTTATATATATATATATATATATATATATATATATATATATATATTAATTATGCATGATATAAAAATACCGATATCCCACCGCGATAACCTATATTCCAAATATCGCCCCGTGACCGATATTTGATTTTGGACCGCTATAACTGCCTAGCTCATAGGTCTCTCGTACGTTTCCATTATTTATTGTGATGTTTTATCTTCTTGTACTTTTTCCTATTCTCAAAGGGCTGTAAATATAAATTATTCTTATTATAAATTGTGTGTTGTTCCTCTATATTTGGTATTTGGTATGAAGACACTTTCTGTCATGGTATCAGAGCTGGTATAAATAGTGTGACATCCCCAAAATCACGGCCAGAAAAGACCGATTTTGTTTATGCTTTATAAAAATCAGAGTACTTCATTTTATAAAAAGGTTGCGGAATTTGTTCCCAGAAAAACATGGTAAATACGTTATTAAAACATTTTCGAAGAAACGTATTTATTTCATTTTAAAACGTTTGGGATGTCATCGTTAATATAGGAACATAAGCATAAACAGAACTTACAATTATTCACACTAGTGGTCTACATCTCTTTAAATCTCTCAGTGGTCTACATTTTAAAACGTTTGGGATGTCATCGTTAATACAGGAACATAAGCATAAACAGAACTTACAATTATTCACACTAGTGGTCTACATCTCTTTAAATCTCTCAGTGTAATGTCACTTCATATCAACACCTGTGATATAAATAAACTGAGTGGGTCAGGTTGGGAAACCTGGTGAGCATACAGAGATTTCAATCCCACAATGTTATACCATATATATAGTTTAAAATTCACAAAATATACAATTTCACCATACATATATATAAACAACTCTTATCCCACCCCGTCGATCCTCGCAACGAGGCTATCCATACTCTCGGACCTAAGATTAGTCGTTTTACCTACTCCATACTCTCGGATCAGAAATGAACGAATTTACCAAATCCATACTCTCGGACTAGGGACGAATGACTAATCCATACTCTCGGATTAAAGATGAATGAGTATGCCTAATCCATACTCTCGGACTAGGGACAATAGCTAATCCATACTCTCGGATTAACGACGAATGATTATGCCTAATCCATATTCTCGGACTAGGGACAATGACTATGTCTAATCCATACTCCCGGATAAGTGACATATACTAACTTCTATTCTCTGAGTTTAACTCACTTGTACTCGTAAGAATATACTACCCAATATTCCTCATATTTAATTTAGGTCTACTCTTTATCCTAAATTATCAAATATAATCAGGTATGTTCTTTAACACGAATTTCAAGCAACATCAATTAACTCTCACATAAACATATAATTAATACTTCAATCAATACTTGTATTAAAATCATGTTCATGAAAGGGACTATGCACTCACCTGAGAAGGTGGTGACTCGGTACTCGGACAGCACTTCGTTTACTTTAAAATAATTTCCTTCGACGAAACCTAGTATTATCACCAATAGATTTTAGTCTATTATTCACCGAGACTAATTAATAGTCTAGCTATTATTACTATTATATAAGCGTTAAAAAAAATACTTATATAACCCATAATAATAGCCCAAGTATTTATTATATGTTCTTAATAACGTTAATATAATTAAATAAAAACTATATTAAAAATAGCGTAGGCGTAGCTCACTTACAACAGGTTTTATAGAAAACCAGACTTTGCTTGGAGCAGTGTTTCTGAGCCGAAAAGCTCTTCTTCTCGGAGCCTTCGAGCACTCCGGGGCTTCCGCCTCGTGGTAGGGAGGTTCCCTAGGCTTTTCGGGGGATTTCGGGGCTAGAGAGAGGTTCTAGAGAGAGAGTAAAGAGAAGAAAGAATGGGAAAGGTGTGAAGAAAATGAGGGTGGGAGAGGTGGTATTTATAGGGTGAAAATGGCTGAACTTGGTGCCACATGTCACCATCTAGTGGCAAGACTTGGGGAGAAAGCAATGGCCAAGATTGTGCCACATCACCCATTTTCGCACAACACACTTCCGACTTCTAAAATCCGTAACTTTCACATACGACCTCCGTTTTTGACGTTCTTTATATCCACGCGTAGGTAAAAATAATATCTACAACTTTCATTTTGACTCCGTCGGATAATTCTCGACCGATCTTAAATTTAACAGTACAAGGCGTTTAGACTGTTAAATGACCGCGAAGAATTCGTAACTCCTTCATACGGACTCCGTTTTCGTCTGTCTTTTTACCGTTGAGTTCCTATTAATGAGATCTTCAACTCTCATTTATTTCACGTAAGCCAAAAACCGCTTGAACTAAAATTCGAGTTTCGGGCTATACACTGCTAAGCCGAATCTTAGAAAAATGATAACTTCCTCATACGAAGTCAGATTTGGGCGTTCTTTTTATCGACGCTCTTAGTTAAACATATTCTACGACTTTTGTTTAGATTGCTAAGGCTAAAAAGTCTTCTATCGTAAATTCACTATTTACGTCTTCCGGTGCCGTGCCAGTTTTGCCGTAAAACTTCGGCGGGCCATAACTTCTTCGTTATAACTTGGATTTCGGCGTTCTTTATATGTACGGAAACCTTGTGACATATTCTAAAACTTGGTTAAGACTATTCATTCTAAATAATCTTTTGTCGAAAAGTCATTTTTGACCCCTATTGCCTCTAAATTGACTAGCCCGGATCTGCGGACGTTACAAATAGGGCCTTATGTTCTCCTATTTTCGGCCACTTGTCCTCCCAGAAGAATAGATGATATTTGCCTCTCCCTCCTCTCTCCTCAACTGTCTTCTACTTCTAGGGCTTGGATGCAAACGATTAGAGATACTAAACTTTTGGTGCTAGCTTTCCAAGCTCTATAAAGGAGGGATTGAAGTGATTTGTTTGCTACAACAAATCTAAGGTATGTAATCATAATCCATGGTTTCGATTATCATAGGGTTCATTTTAGTTTTTTGTTATTCATGCATGTTGCTTTCAAAGTATTAAAGCCATAGATCATTATAGGTTGCATATGCCCTTCTTAATTGTTAAGTAATTTTCCGCATTATACATATTATAACCTATGAATTCCATAAGATCTTTTGTTCAAGTTTTTGTTGATTTTTGATAGGTGTTCAATTTTTTTGGTGTCTGGAAAAACTTATTAAAAAAACTCACTACTCTAATGGTAAAAAGCTATTGTAAATGTTATTCAAATAGTAAACAATTTTTAATACGTTAAGATTGGAAATGTTTTATAAGGTTGAGGGATGTTGCACGTATAATGTCATTATCAAATCTTGACTAGGAAAGTTTTATTATTTATTCTAGCTTAACGTGGTTGTATTCCAGGACTGGTTTGAGAAGAAAGCTATAAGAGTTGGTCATAGCTACGAGATCGTTTAAGAAAGGGGTTGAAAGTGAACAAAATCTGAAGAGTAGCTACTAAAAATGAAAAAAGAAAGTAAATAAATGATTACATTATCATATTCATTACATCATTTATAAATATATAGTGAAAAAAACGTTTCTCTGTATCTTAAAAGTTCTTTTACATTTTCTTGAATGATCGTATAATTTGAGCTGTACATAAAACTCATGGACACTTATAAGTTGCATTTTTTTAATATGTTAATTAAAAACATATAATCAACATTAATTATAATAAATATTATTATAATTAGATATAAATTATATTATCTTGTGTTTTATATTTATTATCCATTTTTTATTTTTAAAATCTTCATTCTTAAACTTTTACCTTAAATATATATAATATATGAATAAATTGATTTTTAAATATCTTTTTATTTTTATAAATTTTATCAAGTAATATATAACATAAATAAAAATATTCAAACTTAAAGAAATAAAGACTTTAAAAATCGAAATTAGACAATAAATATAAGCAAAGTGGAGTATTTATTAAAGAGATCATTAATGCATTTTACAAATATATTGTAATCATCCTTATAATTAATTTATTTTATATTTAATTATAATAATATTTGTTATAATTATTAATGTTTCTAACGTTTTTTATATCATATCGGCAATATATTAAGAAATATTCTCCAAAAAATTAAAAAAAATCAAGAAAAATATGTTATTAATCAATTAGATAGTAGGCACTAGACACATGTACATATCCTTTATCTACAAACAACAAATTCATCCTGCAAAAAAATCATTTTGATAGATGATGGCTTAGTTGATTATACATATTGTTTTTTTTTTTGTTTTTTTTTTTTTTTTTTCTCTTCTCTCTAACCTATATATTGTTCTCAGATACATGAGAACATTAATTTTATCATCATAAACCCGAATGACACTTAAAAAGATCGATTCTTTGGTCCCCTAAACGTAGAGAATATGCAGCTTTTTTGTACTCATTCCACGTAAACGACTTGTAAAGTCTTTGTTCTCCCGGTGAGATCATTTGTGGGATCGGAAATATCCATTCGTTCATAGCTGGTGCTGCAAAATACATCATCGACAATCTCGACCTGCTCGACATATTCGCCATTACTCTATGCCTTACGCTTTTTAATCTTCCATTCGTCAAAACCTGCATTCGTCAAAACTTAATTATTCAAAGTACTCAAAAGTAAACACAAAATTAATCATGAATGATCGATTAAAAGTATACGTATATATATTATATATATAATATACCTCTAATGCATCTCCAACAAAGACGCAAAAATCGGTGGGTTCGACATTAACTGGTATCCAGAGACCGTCAACGGTAGAAATTTGGAGGCCAGGAACGTCATTTGACCTCAAAATGGTAAAAATCTGGGGGTCGGAATGCTCTCCGAAGCCAATTCGTTGATGTGATTGAGAGGGTTTATTGGATTCATGAGTAGTTTTAGAAGTTTTAACCCCAGGATAATGATTGATACGGAAACATGAATCACTATCAACATCTTCAATAAACCGACTAAAGATGTTTGTGTCAGTTAACGAAAGCCCAAGTGCCAATATTTCCAACAACCCACATGTCAACCCTTTCACTACGTGGATGTAATCCTCCACCGCACAACTGCATAAAATATTTTCAAATTTTAAAAATCATACCACAAAACTTTCAAAAATTACACTTTTTAACCCAATATTAACAAATCTTTACAAAATAACTGTTGTCAGTCACCTAACGTTCCCTGAAAGATTCCTTTATTTGGGTATGAAAACTACTGTACTTGTCTCCCTCTATTTTTGGTTACCGACACATGGACTGTTCCCAATCTCCTTTTTCCCGTTTCATTAAAATCGGTACGATTAATTGGGACAACCTTCATAATTATCATCATCACTTATGTCTCAAATCATTGTATATAATAGACATATGTGTTTTTAAATAAAACCCAGATTTTAAACAACTAATTAATTAAACACATACGTACGTACACAATTGTTTGTTGCGTGTTTAAGGGAGGCACGTGAACTTATATAGATGATCATATGTTGACTTTTGATTAGATGAAAAGCTGGTTTGACCTGGTTGAGTATTTGCCTAACTAATAAGATGATTGGGTCATCTGATTGCGTAAGGCATGATCTCAAAACCCACATATATTACCCGTCGCTAGTGGGTTGCTTATGATAATTATTTAACATAAAGCCCTTTTTAACGGCATTTCATATACGTTTTATAATGTTTCATGTAATTAATTATTAAAGCATAAATTTTATGATTACCATCATGTAATTTTGTATTCTTAAATCAAATGATTCCTTGAAATTCGGGGAAAAGAATCAAACAAGAAAACATAAGTGTTTTTAATACCGAGAAGCCGGCTAAAAAGCGGAGTGGACCTCAGCCGCTTTGAACTTAAACAAAAAGACGACCTAGGTTAATAATAATGTTTATTTTTCTAGGACCCGAATCATCGGCCAGCGTGGCAGCCGAACCACTTCTTTATATATACACGAAGAGTTGAATTTTTTTTTTTTTTTTAATTCGAAATTAATGGGGACCTACGGGTGAGTACAACTGAACGAACACTGCATGTGTCGGAAGACATGTTCCACAACTCATACATATAATATATTCTCGTACTCATTAAAATGTTGGCCAAATTATGGGCAAATCGGATGAGAAAGACGATGTACTTGAAAAACTATAGACGGACCACATATACAGTTGTTAAAATGATTAACACATTTTCATTTAAATACAGAAGAAAACGGTATAAAGACGCTTAATGGTTTTTGGGTTTTAAAGACAGTTAAAAAGAGCGTCTTGTCATTGTCATCGATTCATCGGATTTTGTGGTTGGTGATCATTGAATTAATTGAAGATTGATATTTTATTATATGTATATATAACGTGATCATCACTCATAGGAATATAAACGTGAGAATGATTGATGATTACATACCTGAAATCTGTTGGTTGGTCTGAGACGACATTGAAGGTATCGGAGTGAAGGAGAATCTGATCAGGGTTGGCTTGAAGTAGAAGGTATTCAAGTTCACCCACATCTCCATTGAAACCGATGCTGCGGCAACCATACCCGAAAGGGCTAGGTGGATTGGATTTGGCTTTGAGTTTTTCAGAGGCAGGCTTGAAGAAGAAACCATTAGCAACTTCCTCCATTTTGGAGATGATTTCAATGGGGACTCCATGGTTGACGACCTTGAAGAAACCGTAGTCTTGACAGGCCGTGATGATGCGTTGAGATAAGGTGGTGGTGTCAAGGGAGAGATCGATGATTGGGATGCCAATGGCTTGGGTCTTTTTGGTTCTTAACGGGGAAGGGGAAGAGAGAACCATGGTTGCGCTAGCTAAAGAATGTGAAAGGGGAATGTGGGTGATGAGGCCATGAGGGGGTTAAATAGTAGTTGTGTTACGTAAGATTGCGTGATGAGGGTACCACAGCAATCGGGACCTTTCTTTTATGGAGGACAAAATAGTTGTTTTTGTCCACTGTACTCTACATATTTTATATAAATTTTTATATATTGTATTATATGATATAATTAACACAATATTAGTGATAGTGGGTTAATAACAAACAATATAAATTAAAGTTTATACCATTTGAATCACTACTTCAAAAATTTATTATAACGGATGATCATTACAGCATTACTACAAAATTGAGTATGATGATGTGCAAAAAAACATCAACCAATTATCAATAGATAAAATATGTGGATAACTTTTTTTCAAATTTTGTTCACATTTATTAATTATCTGTTGTTTTCATTTACCAATAAACATATTTTTTGTGTTAAAAAAATCATTATGATGTTTTTTTAATTCGAAAAATAAGTTTGTGTACAAAATAAAAAGCGAATAGATGAGAACATATATAAATTTTATATATTATCTTATAATTAATTATTTCTTAGTTTTTTACTTTAATTTTATTGAAATTTTTTTTTAATTTGCAAAATAAACATTTTCATAATTTTTTATTTCATGAATCTTTTTTTATCTTGATAATTTTTTTTTTTTTTAGAAACGATCGAGATTTTATAAAGATGACCCTTGCAAGCAAGAAACTAAACGAGGATCAAGGAAAAAAAATACACAGTAATAAAGTTCAAGAACTATTGAAGGGATATACTTCCATTCCTCCTAACTACAAATTCCACCATTACCCCTACATTTGATCCACAAGTAAGCTAGTGACTTTGTGTTCTCGATCGCTTTTGTAGGATTGCTTGCACACCTTAGAAAGATTCGATCATTCCTTGATTTCCACAGAACCCATAACATATCATAGCAAATTACAATGAGTCTCTGTCTGCGCTTTGACCATCTTCCCCACTTGGCTGTAAAATCAATAAGCTCACCCACATTTTGTACTTCAATAGAATCAATCTTGCACCACCTGAAAATTTTACCGCGCACCAAAAAAGCAAATAGACCGCGAATAAGTATGTGATCAGCATCCTCCGTCTGGTATACACAGTAGCCACAATACATGGAATCAGCGGGATATTCCTATGACTAAGTGCCATGGCAAAAGGACTACGTCCATGAACTGCTCTCCAAACAAAACCTAACACCTTTATAGGAATTAACTTACACCAATTGATCTTAGCATAACTAGAATCAGTCAATTGATTATTATCAATCATATGCCTGAGAATCGAGACTTTATATCTACCGTCAGGGGCGATGGGACAAGATGTAAAATTCAGTCCAGGTTGCAATTTAATGGATTCAACAGCTTGCTCCAAGCCTAGTAAGCATTGATGTAAGCCAATATTGGAAGGATTGGACCTCTAACACCAGTTGGGACCACGTTCTCTGATTCTGTCGCTCACCTTACATCTTTTTTGTGCTTCGGTTTCAAATAGAGCCGGATATCTCTTTTTTAAATCTGAGAATCCAATCCATATATCATTCCAAAATTGGGTATTATCTCCAGATTTGACGCATTGTCTGAGTACATCTCTGGTATTAAAATGTCACAATTGGAAATTTTCTAGAACAAACTAGGTTTAAACATCATACCATGTACCAGTAGATTCGCAATGTAACTTGATGCAATAGGATTATGAATTTCATGAACCATACTTATATAGGTTATATTGAAGTATATGTGTTGAAACCCATGATAATTCAAGTTATAATAAGCTAATACAAGTTAACAAGACATTAAGGAGTGAAAAAGGTTCAACAAAAGTCAAATGAATTACATTATTTTAGTGAATTCGACCTTAGGCAATCTACCATTGAGTTTGCGGTCACATAGGACCGAAAATAACCCCCTAAACTCACTTAGAACCGAAATCACAAAGTGGAGGCCCAATAAGGACCAAAAACTCCACAACCTTGGGATAGAAATCCTTTCCATAAAGCCCATTAGGTCCGAAATCATCAATTGTGAATGATTTTGGATGATTTCGGTCATGGTTGGCAGCAAACACTTCCTTTTGGCCGCAAACACCTTCAAATAGGCTATAAACATCCTTAAATATATTGATATCTTATCTTGATTCAGCTTCCCAATGTGAAAATTCCATTTACCAACGTAAACTTCACATCACCTCCTCATAAATTAATTCCTATTTAAGATACCACTTTAAGATCATATCCCATTTCACACATCCAGTAAAAGAAAACATCCTCATTTCTCTCTCAAATAGCAAGCTATAACGATGTAAATTTCAAAAAAAAAATCTTTTAAAATCATATAACTATCATATCACATTTCGTAAAACTCATTTATTGGCTTACAAAACATAATCCCTTATTAATTACTCAATAAACCAGGATCCTCGAAATATAATTCTTTCTCTAGTGTGTATAATCAAGCCGGTGTCGTCCCGAGATACTGAGAAAACCTGAAACACATAAGACATAACATGGTAAGCGCGAAGTTTAATGAGTTCCCTAAAATACCACATACAACACATATGCCACTCGAGGCTATATCTCAGTACAACCTTCCAGTCGATGTGTCTCAGCGAGACCCTCCAGTATCGTAACTCGTTGGACCCTCCGGTCCGGTCTATATCGTTGGACCCTCCGGTCCAGTCTATATCGTTGGACCCTTCGGTCCAGTCTATAAACTCCGCATAGCGTAAATCACAAAGACATATTGCATAGCATGTCTCATACAACATGATAGTATAATACTCAATGTAAGCACATAAGACCTTTTGGTCACACATAACTACCGCTCAAGGTAACTTATATCGAGAAGAGTCACCTCGGATGATGTCAGATATCCTCTCGTGCTCGATAACCCGACCTAGCCTCCCCCTATCAGAATGCTAACATCTCTAATCAATAATTTCTCTTGTCCTCATCTCTAAAGAATGGGTAAAAGACCATTCTATCCTACCCTGACCTCTCTTAAATTAGCTTGACCAAAACCCTCAGGTCAACTGAAGTTAACTCTAGTCAACGGTCAAACTTTGACCAGACTCGTCGAGTGAACTCGGGTGACTCGGCGAGTCTACGCGTGTTCTCAGAATCCTCTTAAGGCCTCACTCGACTCGTCGGGGTAGCCTTTCACTGGACGGGTTACCACTGGACACGAATCATGGGGCAACCTGACTCGACTCGTCGAGTTCCCATATAGACTCGGTGAGTTTCCTCCATGACAACACTCAAACGACCTTCTGACATCAGATCTGCTTCTCTAACTTATAGATCTGACCTTCTAACACCCAATAATCACATAAAGGCTCAATCTTTAAGCTCATGCAACGCTCATATGTCCTTAAATGATGAAATAACTCATAAAATGGCAACCTAAATCCATAACCCCAAAGGGACTGCATAAAGCTGGAAGGTTGGGACTCTCTGGACCTCTTAAGGTCCAGATCTAAGGCTTATTCCACATTGGGACCTCATATACTCTATATTCCTTTAAAGAAAAAGGTCAAGAAACCCTAGATTCATGCAATCAACACCATACAGAAGGAAAGGTTCGATTTGTTACCTCAAAGTGAAGCTCCATGCTTCAAAGTCTTAGAACATCAACCCCCCCTCTGGTCCCTCTTGCTAGAACTCTCATTCTCTTTTGAATTGTCACACCAAAAAGGCTCAAGATAGATCTTCTTCACTCTCTAAGCTCTCTAGTTCGAAAGGAGTCTCTCAAGGGTGCAGGTGGTCACCACAGAAGGCCATACGGTCCTTTAAATAGGTCCAAAACCTGAACAATTAGGGTTTTTCCTTAATAGTGCTGACTCAGTGAGTCAAATACCCGACTCGTCGAGTCCCTTCATTAAACAGGTCACCGAATCACGATCCTACTTGACGAGTTGAGGCGTAAACTCATCAATTCACTTCTCATATCTCAATAAGAATTACACAAATTGTCATGCCTGGAAATCTGGATGTTACATAAGCCATATTCCTTCCATTCTCAAATATCAAAGATCAAACTTTCCTAGAACATATATTTGGAGCTCCATCCTTAAGATACTATTGTAAGTATTCTTCATATTATTTAGTGTTTAAGAAACACTTGTGTTATTAAGACCATCTTATCACACATTATTTGTGTTTAAAACCATTAGGATTATGATATCCTTCCCGTATTCTAGCTCGAAGTCACCGTTTCTATCCAGTTAACAAAATCGCTATCGCACTCTAGGTGAGTTCACACCCCTACATTTTCATAACTTTTTCTATGCTTTAGAGGGGGGGGGGGGGATACAAGTAAAACACAAACTTGTGTCAATACAAAAACCATTGTTTATGTTTTCTTTTATATATATATATATATATATATATATATATATATATATATATATATATATATATATATTGATGTGTGTAAAATCAACTAGTTTTAAACCTACTTTTAATTATAAAATAAACACACAAAGGCAGTGAATGTATTAATTGTGGTAAAGCTAAATAAGTAGGGTATCGAACACAGAGAACGGTAAATTAAAACTAAAAACTAATTTTATCTAAATTTAAATAATAAAAATGGGGTTTTCTCTAGTTTTACAAGACTAGAAACTTACTAACTATTACTTAAACTAAAAACTAGAAAAGCAAAGATTAAATTCGAAGAGGACTTCTGTTTAGTTCACCTCAATTGATCCTATGGTTGATATTATGGTAATAGTGCAATGGATTAATTCTTCTATTGGCTACCAATTCAAGTAATTAGATTCACGTTCGCTGCACTAATTCTTAGAGAACAAACTAACTCAAACAGTGGCCAGTTGTCTAACTTAATTTGATTCACTAGGTTATTTATTCGGGTTAATTTAGACTTGTAATAGCTAACTAATTTGGTCCTTTAGTTAACCTCTTGTTGATGGTCGTCACACAAGCTCACACATGAATTTACCTATTTTTCTATTAATTCTAGTTTCACAGTCGCTAATCCTAGTCATGTAATAAAGTGGTCACATAAATTATAT